AGCTTGGGTCCCAGAAACTGTGACAGGGAGAAAGTTGTCACTTCTAAAAGGGTCAAGAATAAAAAGATGCAGATTTAAATTAATTGACAACATTTTTACAAAATGCAATTTGAGAAAGAGCTTTTTCGTGCAGTGAGTGATTAGGGCCTGGAATGTACTGCCTGAAAGTGTGATGAAGGCTGTTTCATTTGAGGCATTCAAAAGAGAATTATCTTGATATCTGAAAGGAAACAAAGTGCATGTTACAGGGAGAAAGCAGGCCAATGGTACAAAATGAAATGCTCATTTGCAGACACAATGGGTTGAATGGCCTCCTTCTGCTTTGTAATAGTTTTGTAACAGCCAACCACCTCATTCTGCAATCTGCCTGATTCTTCAGCCCACTTCCCTTGCCCCTCACGATTGTCAAAACTACTCCATCTCAGACCATCATTCACATCCTCTTTAATTAGTCCCCCAGCAAATTACTGATATGTCCTTTCCCACATTGAGCCCCCACCCCGCCCTGGATTTCAAAAACAAATTATTTTTGCAACAATATCACTGTATATTCAATGGGCAAACTGGTTCTCCCCCCAAAGGATTTTTTTTGTATTGGTTACCTGACAGTTTTTCACAGCGGAGCTGAAAGAAACCAAGTTGCTTTCACCTTTGAGTTCTGATGATTGTCTATTGCTAATATGTTAACTCATATCATCAGGGGGAGAGGTAACCAATATGGTAGGTTTGTCCATAAAACTTTCCACTACCTCCAAAGTAAATAAAGCTCCTCTTCACACTGCTGAAATATCCAGCACCGAATCCTGACCCTGAATTTAGTTATTGAACCTAAATGCATGCTGTAGTCACAGCGCCCTCTGGTGGTACCATGATCAGACAGCATAAGTTTAATACAGAATAAAATTCCTTTTCTACACTACTTGGGCAGCATGGGTTAGATCCAAAATAATGCTCCTTCTCTTCTTTCCTATCAAACCCTCATTGGAGTCAACTCTCTACCAGTTGCCAATTCTTACTCTGGAATGTCCAATATCATTTTTCATTGCCAGCCTAGCAATCATGATACAATGACCACCATCCCCTAAATGTTCCTAAACTGTCACTTGATTCACTTGGCCTACCTCACTTTTAAGAAGCAGGTCTAGCAGTCCCTCCTCTCTTGTTGGACCATACATATACTGCTGTAGGCAATTCTCCTGAACACAAAGTCTAAGAATGCTTGCCACTTGCTGCTCTTTACACTACCACTGTCCCAGTGTATATTTAGGTAATTGAAGTCCCCAATAATAACTACTCTATCATGTTAGCGCCTACCTGTAATTTCCTTGCAGATTTGTTCCTCTGCATTCTTTCTATTAATTGGTGGTCTGTTGATTACACTCAGCAAAGTAATTGCATATTTTTTGTTCTTTAGCTCGAATCAAATCCTTTCTGTTTTTGAACCCTCTGAGACATTCTCTTTCTCCAGCACTGACATGCTGTCCTTAACCAAAAATGCCCTGTCATCCATATGTAAAATGGCTCAATCTCTGCCTTCAAGGATGTTGGACATTGTGAGCTAGAAGATCTCAAGTTGAAGGCTCTGTACAATTGCAGCAAGAAAACCCAGTTCCTGTATTCAAATCCTCTCGCTATGAAGGCCAGCATACCGTTTTGCCTGTTGCATCTCCATGCTCATTTTCAGATTTCATTGCACCTCTCCCTTTTCTAATCTATTGCCATTCAGACAATAACCTGCCTTCCTGTTTTTTGCTACCAAAATGGATAACCTCACATTTATCCACATTATACTTAATCTGCTATGCATTTACCCATTCACTTGGATACTTAATGTCCAAATGACATTGAAGCTTCTCTACTTCCTCCTCTCAGTTCACCCTCCCACCCAAATTATCTGCAAATCTGGAGATATTATATTTAGTTCCCTCATCCAGATCATTAATATATATTGTGAACAGTTGGGGTCCAAGTACTGATCCCTGCGGTACCCCACTGGTCACTGCTTTCCAATCAGTTTATCCCTACTCTTTGTTTCCTGCCTGCTAACGGTTCTCTATCCATGTCAGTACACTACTTCCAATCCCATATGCTTCAATTTTACATTTCCTTCTTCACCTCACATTGCTTTACATACTGAACAGTCAGTTCAAAACTTCAATCTTCTTAAGTTTGAAAGAAATCTTATATCACTTCATCAAGCATGCCAACAATGACACTGTCACAAATTGATCCATTTTAAAGCACTGGTAGCTGCACTGCTTACTAGTCTATATAAGGCTGACTTCTGCCATCTTTAGTTAAACCTTTCCCATTCAATGATCAGATATTTCTGGATGTTGAAACTGACATCAAACGCTCCTAGGAGCTCCCTGTGCAATGCTGATAGCTCCTCAACTCCATGCCTCACTAGGGCATCATCTGCTACATTTCAAATAACATGCCAACAAGTTCAGATCTTGTGTTTTTATATCTTCTTCTTTAAGCCTGAAGCAATTCGGTACCTTTCACACTGGCATCTCCAGAGCTCCAGTCATTTTCCTTTCTGCAGACCCTCCATGTTTCTGAAGAGCTGGAAAAGAAATAGTGGCTGTTGACTCTATGAATCTTTACTGTTCAGTTCTGCTTACTACGAAGGTATGTCTTTCTATTGCTTCCTTCTATGTTGTGAAATTGAGCTTCAGCTTTTACATTAATATGCTGGGGTTCACTCCTGTCTGTGTCTAATCTGTAACTTCAGTCACTGTACACTGCTGCCTCCCCGATGGTTTGGGATCATTGTTCTCATTTCTGGTCAAGATAATGGCAGAGTAGGACTCTCCAACCGGAGCTCCTCCGCTCCTTTTGTTTCTTTCTCCCCCTTTGGTCTCTTGGTGGGTCTCAGCCTGGTCTTCGGTGGCTCCTGGTGGGTCCCGGCCTGGTCTCTCGGCAGCTCATGGTGGGTCCCACCCTGGTCTCTCGGCGGCTCATGGTGGGTC